GCAGGAGAGTTACTGGGGTCTGGTTGTAGCGGCAGGAGAGTTACTGGGGTCTGATTGTAGCAGCAGGAGAGTTACTGGGGTCTGGTTGTAGCGGCAGGAGAGTTACTGGGGTCTGGTTGTAGCAGTTCTGCGCGTCACTTCAACAGTCTCGGTAACACGGCACCTGTGGTGTTGCTGCGCTACAGGCAGGAGGTGGGGCTGCATTTCTGAAATATTGCCGGACACAAACAGACAGTCCCATTTACCGGCTGCCGCAAGGCGACGGGAGAAGTTGTTTTTCTCGTCCTTGTCCAGAAGAGAAAAACAGGAGCGCACTGTGAGTCTTCAAGATCACCGCGAGTGAAGGACAGACCGCACAGCCTCGCAGATGCGGCTCGGATTGGTAAAAACCGGACAAACACGCCGATACCTGGGCTTTACCTACGTGACACAAGCTCAGCACGACGTTCGGGAAACAGTTTTTAATCTTTCGGCTTCCCCACCCACACGGAACTGTGACGGCCCGATCCCCTGCGAGTCAAAACACGTGCCACTTCCTGAGCGGCGTGACTCCTGAAGGGCTCGCCTCGCGCTCGTTCCCCGTCGCCCGTGGACGTGGCCCCGCGGGGCTCGAGGCTGAGCCGGAGGGATGGAGCTCGCGCTGGGACTCGCCGCGCTCGCGCTGATCCTCGTGGCGCCGGCCGTGGGACGGGAGCTGAGGAGGAACAATCTCGCCATCACACTCGTAAGAGCACGGCGGGGTCCGCAGCAGGGTTTTGGGGTTTGTGGGTGACCCCGGTCACGATGAGAACATACGATATCCTAAGCAGGCAGTTGGCAGTAAATGGACCGCTGTCGGCTCCAGCAGCGTGGGGCTGCGCAGCTCAGTGCGGTGGAGTTCCGTTCTCCCACACCCCTCCGTGTAAGGACGCGTGTTCTGCTCTTCCTCGGGTCTGTGTCCCTCGGTTCGCTCTGGAGAAGCGCGCTGGCGTGACTCTGTCAGTGTCCCGGAGGATTGTGAAGACAGGTATCAGGTCTCCTCACAGTCCCCGGTCCCAGACTAGAGGTCCAGTCCCTGCAGCTGCTCAGAGCAGGACTGTCCTCTGGGCCCCAGAGTGGATCTGGCTGCTCTTCTCCATTCCAGAGCAGCAACATCTTTTCTAGACCGGGGGGGACCAGGATTGCAGACAATCGTGTAATAAATCAGTGCTTACCAGATCTTTATACACTCGCGGCATCCGTTACATTTAAATTCTACACTTTTAACTGTAGATCTCAGCATTTTATTGCTTTGCCTCCAGCTGAGTCTAGAAGATGTAAATGCTGTGTCAACATAAACACCTCAGTTACCCTCAGTGTTTTTACTGTCTGCATGCAAAACCCTGCACATGTCTTCGCTAAACATCATCTGCCACGTGTTTGCTCAGTCCTGAATCGTATCTAAACCTTTTTTCAGTTTCATTTACTGCCTCTGCAGTGTTTGCTAATCCTCCTCACTTGAGATCATCTGCGAACCTGTCTAGTTTACTAACGACACCAGGATCTAGATTCCTGATATAAAGTAATTAGTGGTCCTGGTACTCGGCCTGCGGTAGCCCTCTGTTTTGCGTGTTCACCCTCAGTGTGTGCCCTCTGTCTTTTATTTCATGACCAATTCTTAGTCTGATCGCCCACTTTTCCCAGGATGCCTACTGCTCGCAATTTGAGAATTAATCATTTGTGAAGATCTTTATCAAAACCATTCAGAAAATCTAACTGCACCACATCATACTGTATGCCCAGTCTGTGTATCCATTCCTACTGTTACTTGTTCAGACACGTTCGACAAAATC